GGTGATGCTGAGTCACGTTAACTGTGGGAACACACAGACCTGGCAGTCAGGGAGGACTTCCTGGAGAAAGAGGCACCTAGATGCAGCCTGGAGGCTGAGGGCTAACTGGGTGGAGTGGGGGCGAGCAGGGCCCATGCTTCTGTCCTCTCTCCCCAGCCTTCCTCTCCGCAGGCCTTGGGGTACTTGCAGCCTCCGAGACCTACCCCCTGCCCATGAGCAGCTCCAGCTGGGAGCCCCGGCTGGTTTCTCCGTTCCCATCAGGCCTTTCCACTGGCTCCACAGGGGCCCAAGCCATGGGTGAGCCCACCGGGCAGGGCCCCAAGAACCCGCACGTGTCCAGCGTGACGGTCCAGCTGGAGATGAAGGCTCTGTGGGAGGAGTTCAACCAGCTGGGCACAGAGATGATCGTCACCAAGGCAGGCAGGTGTGAGGGGCAGGTGGGGTGTGCATGTGGGTGCGGCCGGGCCAGGCTGGGGCCGCACTCAGGCCCCTGGGCACCTCCCTCCGGCAGGAGGATGTTCCCCACCTTCCAGGTGAAGATCCTGGGCATGGACTCGCTGGCTGACTACGCCCTGCTCATGGACTTCGTGCCCCTTGATGACAAGAGATACAGGTGTGGGGGCCACCGGGGAAGTGGCTCAGTCCTCCGGTGCTGAGATGGGGAGTCGGCCCCTCGCTGCACTCGGGGGAGGCAGGGGCCAATGAAGCAGCACCAGGGAGGCCTATCCTGGGGCAACAGTGGGGAGTCTGGTGGCAGGGGCACCAGCCCTGGCAGCTGACAGTGGGCAGTGGGCAGCTTGGACAGGCAGCGTGGGCTAACCCAGGGCAGCGGGTGGAACCACAGGACACTCTCAGAGCCTCTGGTTCCTCGTGTGCAAGATGGGGCTGGTGCTCGGGCGCTCACAGCCCCTTTGCCCCGCCAGACTTGGCCCCAGGCAGGGGCAGCAGGTGAGGGTGTGTGTGACGCAGACGGGCACCCTCACCCCCCGTTCTGCTCCCCAGGTACGCCTTCCACAGCTCGGCCTGGCTGGTGGCTGGCAAGGCGGACCCGGCCACGCCCGGCCGTGTGCACTTCCACCCCGACTCACCGGCCAAGGGTGCGCAGTGGATGCGCCAGATCGTGTCCTTTGACAAGCTCAAGCTGACCAACAACCTGCTGGACGACAATGGCCACGTGAGGCCCGGCCCCGGGGGAGGGCCCAGGCCTAGTCAGGGGCCTGATGGGGACGAAGTCGGGAGCCAGGCCTGGCTGGGCCTTTGGTGCCCATGGCCTGGCTGCCCAGCATCCCCACCCACTGCCGCTGGCCACCGCTGGGGCGCCGAGCTCCCCTGGCACGGTTGGGCCACAGAGGGGACTGTGCAGGCAGGGGGGGGAAGTGGGCTGAGGGAGTGGGAATGTTCCAGCAAACACTGTCCTTCTCATGGGCAGTGTATGGACCACCCACACGGAGCAGGCCCATTGTGGGTCACACAGGATGACGGACACTCTCAATCAGACAGACACCCTGCCCCACAGGGCTCCCTCCTGGGGGTGGGGCCGATGGTGAGCATTCCCTGCCCGGGGACAGCGCTGCAGCCTCAGTGCCAGCTTACTGCTGTCCCCCGACAGATCATTCTCAACTCCATGCACCGCTACCAGCCCCGCTTCCACGTGGTCTTCGTGGACCCACGCAAGGACAGCGAGCGCTATGCCCAGGAGAACTTCAAGTCCTTCGTGTTCACGGAGACCCAGTTCACGGCAGTGACGGCGTATCAGAACCACCGGGTGGGTTGGGCCACAGCTCATGGGGCACCTGCCAGCCCATTCCATAGGGATGGAGACTGAGGCTCAAGTCTTAGCTGCCCATGCACACAGACCCCTGCCCTCCTCTCCTTCCCCGGGACTCAGTGAGCATCTGTCCGGTCATTCCCTTCCCTTCACACCCGCGGTGGTTCCGGTCCCAGGGCCTCCTGACTGGGGGGTCCAGGGAGGTAAGGATGGGTGAGCCTGGGCCCCACAGCCTTTCCCCAGGTCGGGGCCGACCCATAACTTCACTCTCTTCTCTGCAGATCACGCAGCTGAAAATCGCCAGCAACCCTTTCGCCAAGGGCTTTAGAGAGAGTGACCCGGACTCCTGGTACTGACTCCTGTCAGGCTTCCCGCTACCCTGGCCCCGCCCCTCTGCCCCAGCCCCAGGCGTCTGCTAGGGCTTGGGCTCCCTACAAGGGCTACACCCATTGACTGGTCCTGGGGTCTCATGGGCTGACTGAACCAGATCCTTGGCGTGGTTCTTCACCTTGACCCCTGCCCCATCCCTCCTGCCCATCTCCAGGACCGCATCTGCACAGCCCCTGACCAGCGTCCCCGCCCGGAGTCGCAGCAGCCTCGGGCCCTGCCTGCTGAGGGGCTCCGCAGAGCAGGAGAAAGGTTGGTCCCCAGGGGGACCAGAGCCCAGGGTGGGTGAGCAGCCAGGGGGCAGCACCACAGGGCTTCCAAGAGGCTCCGGCTCACTCAGCAGCCCACGGGCACCTGTGTGGACAGGAGGGGAAGCAGGTTTCTCAGGCAATTTGGGGCCCAGGGCAGAGAGAACAGGGAGGGAACACGTTTCTAAGGGGGGTGGGGGGTGGGGGCGAACAGGTGAACTTCCTGGAGGAGGTGGTTCCCAAGCTGGGCCTTGCAGAACTGGGAAGGAGACAGTGAGAAAGATCCCAGGAAGAGGTAAGAGCAGGAGCAAAGGCTGAGGTGGGCAGCCTGGGATGGGAGAAGCGGAGAAGGGCCGGTGTGGCTGTGCGGGGAGGTCTGGGGTTCGCTCAGACCACTTCCTCCCTCAGATCCCAACAAAGCTCCAGCTTCCACCTCCAGGAGCCCTGCTCGGCTCCACCACCAGCTGCTGGCCACCCCTGAGGCTCTGCTGGCCCCCGCCACCTACCGGGCCCTCGCCTATCAGGACCTGTACCCTGGAGCCTCAAGCTCTCTTGGAATCCCAAGGGCCCGGCCGACGCCATATCCCCTCCCCAATATCCAGGCTGACAGGGATCAGGGGGGCCTGCCCCTCCCGGCTGGGATGGGGCTCCTGGCCCCCACTGCCACCTGCCTGAGGTCACACCAGGACACTCAGTGATGATGGGTACCCTTTGGACACAGTCCTCTTACCCTGGACCCCACGCCCTCCAGCCTCACCTCTGCAGAGACGCCTGCCCTTCCCAAGGAGAGCAGTGAACACAGAAGCCCAGAGGGGGAGGCTACCTGCCCAGAATCTCAGCAAGGCTGGGATGGTGCCAGGCTAGGACCAGGCCTCCTACCTCCCGACCTGTCCCCTTCTGCCTTGGGGGTGACTCCTCCAGACCCTGCTCCCCCTCTTCCTTACCCCAAACATTAAACCATTTGGCACGGGTGGTCAGAGCGCTTCTGTCCTCAGGGCTGAGGGTGGAGAGCCTCAGGGACACTCCAATGCCAGAGCCTGGGCTGCAGACACCCCAAAGCTCTCCCAGTGCCACCGGCATCCCTGGAAGCACAGTGATGGTAAAGGTGGTGACACCAGCAGGGGCAGGGCTGGGTGGGAGGCGGAGTTCCTGCTCCCTACCTGTGTGCCCGGATGAGGACTGAACTGCAGCTCAGAGAGGTACCTGCTCAAGTCAAGGTTTGATGACACCTGCCACTCAACGTCCAGGTGCTGTGCACAGGTTGGGGTCGTCTGGTCGAGGGTTACAGAACCACCAGAGGCAATGGCCACGTGGGCCACGATCGGGTCGGGGAGGGACTTGAGAATCTGATAGAGACTTGAGAGCTTCTAGCCCAGTGGTTCTCGACCTTCCTAATGCCACGACCCTTTAATACAGTCCCTCATGTTGTGGTGACCCCCCCAACCATAAAATTATTTTCGTTGCTACTTCATAACTATAATTTTGCTACTGTTATGAATCATCATGTAAATGTCTGATATGCAGGATGTATTTTCATTGTTACAAATTGAACATAATTAAAGCATAGTGATTAATCACAAAAACAGTATGTAATTATATATGTGTTTTCCGATGGTCTTAGGCGACCCCTGTGAAAGGGTCGTTTGACCCCCAAAGGTTGGGGACCCACAGGTTGAGAACCGCTGTTCTAGAGACAGCGACATTGACACCTAAAGGAGTAGAAAGGAAAAAGGAAAAAAGTAGAAAGGAGAGGGAGAGGGGACACAGCTCCGGGAAAGGCCAGGCGGGAGTGGGTCCCAGGAGCGAGAGGTCGCCACGCGGCCCCAGATATCTAGGGGGCGCCCCATGAACCCCCTAAACTCCGACTCCGCCCATCTTGGAGCAGTTCCTGTGAGGTCCTTGGAGAGGAACGGACACACACGGGCGCAGGACGGGAGCCGGCGGGGCCTCCGCAGCAAGACACCCCGATTCCTGAGCTCCGCGTCGGAAGGGCTGAGTTCGCCCCCGGGCCGAGCACGTCGAAGGTCGAGGACACACAAGCCTGACCACCCATCCCAGCTCTGGCCCGGCCCAGGCCGCCCTCTGCGGGCAGCCAGGGCACCAGGACCCGC